ACGCACACAGGCATGACACACACAGATATCTATGACAGGCACACGCACACAGGCATGACACACACAGATATCTATGACAGGCACACGCACACAGGCATGACACACACAGATATCTATGACAGGCATGACACACACAGATATCTATGACAAGCACACGCAGACAGGCGTGACACACACAGATATCTATGACAGGCACACGCAGACAGGCATGACACACACAGATATCTATGACAGGCACACGCAGACAGGCATGACACATACAGATATCTATGACAGGCATGACACACACAGATATCTATGACAGGCATGACACACACAGATATCTATGACAGGCATGACACACACAGATATCTATGACAGGCACACGCAGACAGGCATGACACACACAGATATCTATGACAGGCACACTGTCCTGTACCGTGACAGGTACCTGCAAAAACATGCCGCAGCCATTACAGATGAAAGTATAAATCTCACCCATTTTCCAGACGCATGACAAACATAATCTCTACTCCAAACGTCAGCTGGTGTAGGACATCTATGGTGGTACTGATCCAGACTGACAGCCAGGTCGGACTGGGCCAGGGCGAGATCCAGACAGACAGGAGGTTCCAGAGAAGAATAAAAGCAGCCTCACTATGTTAAGCACTGCCCCTCCCACCATGGGAACAACACAAGTATTTTAGTAGGAATGGCTGGAGGTCACAGCCTTTGGGATGGCCTGTGACAGGAAGGGGAACCGCACACACATTAGGGCAACAGAGGGGTCACACAGTGAGCTGCACCAACACGTGCACTCGCTCCTCTAGGTGAGTCGGTACACCTCCACAGCGCCTCCTGCTGGTAGCACCAGAATCCCCCAGAAAACCAGGTTTCACCATTTGGTGCATCTTCGCCTTACTTACTGCAGGAAGTGCCGGATGCGAGGTGGGCGGAGTCTGTCGGACACTCTCCAGGTGACATCGGGCCCTGACCCCGCCCAAAGTCATCACTTTATCGAAATGGCCAATCCGGCTGGGCCAGCACTCAGCTGGGAAGGCAGCAGCCAATCGTGTGAGTCAGGGCTGGGTGCAGGATCTGGGCATGTTTAACAGGCCCCCACATCAGCCAAACACTTTGCATTCCAGCCCTGTTTCCCGTCTGCGTCACAGAGAGCCGTTCTCCATTACCTCACAAGAAGCACCATCAAAGCGGTGGTGTTTTTGAGAGGCCTGCACTCCCAGAGACGGAGAGAAAACACGAAAGGCAGCTTAAAACGCTCAGGCATGGCACCCTCCACTCTCCATCTGGCAAATTAACAGATAAAGTCACTCTTCCATCACACCTCCATCCCCCAAAACATCTTGCTGACAGAAATCAAATAAAAGAAAAAAATCAGGAACTGGGTCTGATTTCCATTCATTCCAGTGATTGGATTTAGTCACGCAAACGCGTGAAGCACCGCCCTCCTCCACTATGCCCTGGGGCTCAGCAGTCTGCAGCTCATTTTCAGAAAAACAACATTCAGTAAATTTACCCCAAACATATTTATATAAATAATAATGATGCATCAGCATCTTCCCTAAAGCCTTGGCATACAGAGAGGCTGGGCTGATATCCGTGCTCTGTGGCGCACCCTCTCTCAACGCTTCATAACAACAGTGATCCACCTTTGTGTTTGAATTAACTTACAAAGCAAAGGTTCCTGTTCCTGCTTCTGGCTGCAGCTCCTTCAAATGCTACCAGTCAAAACGAAAATCTCTTCCAAGTCAATATGAAAGGGGGCAGCACATGGCTGGGGTGATGCACGGTCACATGTGGGGGCGTGGGGTGATACAGCGGTACGCTGGGTGAGCCAGCCTGACGCAGGGGGACGATGAGGAGGCGGGGTGAGGCACGGAGAGGCGTGATGCGTGGGGAGGCAAGGTGATGTGTTGGGAGGTTGGGTGATGTGTGGGGAAGTGGGGTGATGTGCGGGGAAGCGGGGTGATGTGCGAGGAAGCGGGGTGATGTACGAGGAAGCGGGGTGATGTGTGAGGAAGCGGGGTGATGTGTGGGGAAGCGGGGTGATGTGAGGAGAGGTAAGGTGATGCATGGGGAGGTGGGGTGATGTGACGTGATGTGGGGCGGCACCAGACTCTTTTTTGTCACCTTATTCCTGCCATTTGGCTGCCACACATTTTACCTGGGAGCTCAACCATCTTCCAATAAAAAAAAAAAAACAAACAAAAACCTCAAAACGCCAGATTCCGGGCCGGGTAAAGACTTCTGCCCACTGGGGGTGTAACGGTACAGTCTGCCCACCGTTCGCTTTGATCAATAATTCAGGGCTCATGTACATTTACAAGAAAGCTGTTTTCAAACCGTTTTGGCCTTATGCTGCAGTGCAAAATCCAAAAATAAAATCTCAAAGCAAACCTGAGATTACGCCTATATTGCCCTCTTGTGTTAATGGTAATAAATGACATTGTGTCACGGTTGCACCTCTACTGGCGACGGTGAGCAAGGCAAGCAGCCTCCTGGGGTGGATATGCTGGGGTGCAAAGAACACCCATAAATAAATAAATACACAAACAGGGAGAGGCGGGCAGCTGTGGGTCACCGCCCCAGCGTGACACCACCGTCCCACGCAGGGGACCTCACAAGGTGACTAATCTCACCCTCAGTCCTGCCTGACCACCAGCCCTGCCCACAGCTGCATCCCCAACACCTATTTGCGTGTGCTTTGTACATACTGAAGCAGAACTGTAAATTTTCACTCCCTCCCGCTGACAGAACAGTCAATGTAGCTCCCCAACAAGAACAATAAGGACCAAAGGCGACCTCATCGGACCATCAGCAGCGTGCAACAATGCATCAAATCCGCACCGAGGGGGGAAGCCAAGCAGCCGGCTGAGATGATCGGTCTCTGGCTGAATGCTCACAATGAAGATGTCAACACTGAAGGGGGGGGTACTTAGTTTGCATTTTAATAATAGTGATGGTGCAGATCTCACAGCTTGCAGCAGATTCCACAGCAAGCTGAGCTAAGACCTTCACTCATCACACAAGCAAGAAGAACTGGCACTGAGGTTCCTCAGAAGACCACAGATGACAGCGTGAGAAGACGCACGGGCCGCACCTGCTTCCTCATGACGTCCGTGGCCTGCATGATGCAGCGCGGAGGCAAACCGTAGTTCCGGGCGAGTAGAATGGCCTGTTCCAGAGTGACACTGAGGGTGCAGCTAGAGGAGAGGACAGAGGGCAGGGCTGTCAGACATACAGCAGCAGGGGAGAGAAGCTTCACACGCAAGAACAGGTGACGTACATTTTTTGAGTAAGCCGGGTCAGTCAGTCCCTGGAGCAACTGGGGGTAAAGAGCCTTGCTCAGAGGCCCAACGGTGACATCATTCCTCTGACCATGGGAGTTGAACCAACGACCTTCCGGTCCCCGGCAGTCCTAACCCGCTGAGCCACACACCGGCCCACCCCCCCTTTTTTATCCTTTTTGTCCTTCTACTTTATTAGCAAGCAGTCAGTAGTTAAAGGACTGTAAAGCCTAACTCATTCTTGACTTTTCCATGTGCTGTCAGGGTCCACGCATGGTCACACGTGCGTAACCGTGCGCACATACTGTCCAGGGATGTGGTCAACGCCCACATACAGCAGTGATAATCCACCAGACCAGCAGACGGCAGATGCATTGCAAGAAGCACAAATACAAGCCATGTAGTGAAGTGAGTAAACAATTTCAAAGTTGATACTAGGCGTATTGTGGATATCTATGACAGGCACACTAGGTGGTATTAAAGTAAAATGGCATACCGATTTTTTGTTAATTAATGTCTGGATGATGTGAAAAATTTGATATGCGGGTACCTCAGCACCTCCTACAACAACTATTCTTCTTCTGCTCTTTCTTTGTTGACCTCCGATCTGTGAAACTAGTGCGGCCACCTACTGGAAACACCTAGTTCATTTCCTCACACTTCCGCAGTCGATGTGCACCAGCGTTCACGGTGTCCGCCAGACATGAAAATCTGGGCTGCATGCACACCGTCCAGTGCAAACCTCCCATGATGAAATTTATATCATCCTGTGCACGGACCGTGAGCGCACACGCAGAAGTGAGGTATGAACTTGTAATCCTGCCACACCCTCACTGCACATGCTCCGTGTTGCCTAATCCAGTCCTCAGTGACCCACAGAAAGTCCACGTTTTTGCTCCTACTGGGAACGGGAAGGGAGCAAAGACGTGGACCGTCTGTCTGTCCCCACGGACCGGGTTGGGAAACACTGCTCATTGATAATGAGCTAGGCAGCCCCTTCCTGAACCTTCCCAGCTGCTCCTGTGGTCACCCTGCCCCCCCAACACCTCCCCTAATTCCCACAGAAGCTCCTTAAATCAAAGCCCCTTTGAATTAGTGGTAGCTGCTGCTTGCTGAGCTGATCATTATCCGGCAGTTCGCGTGATGGGGGGTGATGGAAATGGGCAAATGGGACCAGCCGGGATAAATCAAGATGGAACTCACGGCTCTGGTCGGGTAGCTTCATCCTTTCAGAATGAGGAGCAGGATCAGATCCCCAACATTGCGAGGTGTGAACAAGGGGCTACCCAGATAACATGCCGATAAAAGCAGAGACTATGGATCAGGGATCAGGGAGGCGGTGCTGGGTTCGAGCTGGACAGCTTTCTACAGGAGGGTGGTGTTCAGGTGGAAGATCCCCAACATCAGAGGGTCACAACAGAATTATAACAACGGAGTCCAAGCCATTCCGATTTTACCGTGTTTTTAAACTTCCGCACAGCCCGGGTTTAAAGTCAGCGCTGCTGTCTCCTGAGATCTGCTTCTGAATTGTCTCTCCAGTCATTTTGAAGCATTATATATGTAATACTCTGTTCGTCCCCTAAGATCACAGGATCTATGTGAGGAGGTGAGTGCAGAAAGGTTTCAGGGACGGAAAGTTCAACTGAGAAACAGCAGGAGTATTTCCTGAGAATAATTGGTGAAAAGGAGCCCGGATACCTTTGAGGGATTTGGGAGAACTGCAGCAATCACATAAATCATTTCCAGGTGTCAGAATCTGCCGCTGCCCGTTGGCTGAGAGCAGCCATGAGCAGAGAGACGGTGCTGCTGTTCGGGTTTTGGGTATGAGCAGCGTTTCAGGGCTGGTGTTCAGAGCCGCTGGTGGGATTCCATTAGAAACCGCTCAGAATGTCACGGATATGCGGCTTTTTATTCTGACCAAACTGCTGTAATTAATTACATTTCACACTGGGATGAAAAAAATGATATCTCATGATCTCTAATTAGATCAGGATAAGTGACTAATAACTACACTCTAAAAGCAGATATAATCATCTCTCCAGCGAGAAAGGAGATGCTGGTATGATCACCATTTTGCGGAGAGCTGCTCCAGCACAAAGTGTATTAATAGTCACTGCATTAATAAGTAAGGGGGCTTTAATGGATATTCCTATTTAAGACTCACTCATTTGTTTAAGCTATGCTTCAGTAGAAGTCACAGAGAAGGAAAGATGTCCCCAGGAGGTGGGAGAGAGGGGTGGTGGGCTCACCGGTGCACCCCGCTGTTGCACATGACGATGTGGCAGGCCCCCAGGCGGTCGCACAGCTCGGACGCCACCGTGAGCAGCCCCACCCCAGATGCACCGCAGGCTGTGAACTGGCAGGCCGCCGTCCGCCGTGAGCTCACAAAGCTCTCCATCAGCCGATAGAGCTCCTCCAGGGCGTTCAGGGGGCGCATCAGCTGCGGGGGGGCAGGCACATGTCAGCTGGGGGGCCGGGGGGCCACAGGCTACCCCTCGCTACAGGGCGCACCTACAACAGCCCATCTGGGGGTTCATTTACCTTGTCTACTAAGGCCGCTTTTGGTGCTGAGCTGGGGAGCAGGTTGGACTTGTCCAGGTAGAAGGCCCTGTGGGTAAGAAAACTCAGTTAGTGCCCTTCTCAGGCCCAGTTCCTGCCACACCAGCACTGCAAACAAAAGCATCACAGGCTCCACCCACATCAGCACTGCAAACAAAAACATTACAGGCTCCACCCACATCGGCACTGCAAACAAAAACATCACAGGCCCCACCCACATCAGCACTGCAAACAAAAACATTACAGGCTCCACCCACATCGGCACTGCAAAAAAAAAAAAAACACCACAGGCTCCACCCATACCAGCACTGCAAACAAAAACATCACAGACTCCACCCACAAAAACATCAAAGGCTCCACCCACACCAGCACCACAAACAAAAAAACATTACAGGCTCCACCCACCACAACACTGCAAGTAAAAGACGTCTTAGGCTCTACCCATACCAGCACCGCAAACAAAAATCACAGCCTCCACCCCCACATGCGCCACAAATGATAAAAACACCAAGGCTCCGCCCACAACAGCGGCATAAACAATAAATCACAGGCTCCGCCCATACCAGCACTGCAATTGAAAAAACATCACAGGCTCCACCCACAGCAGCAGCCTTGAGACAGCAGAGCTCCTTCCTGCTCACGTGGATGGAAGCCTCATCCTGCTTTCATGAGGCTATGAGAATGAGGGAGGCAATAAGGAAAGACAGCAGGCAGCAGCTGCCTGGGGAGCATGTGCTCAGGACCAAATGGGTAACGGAGGTAAGCGAGTGTCCATGCTGCTGATGCCGGAGGCTGACAGACAGCTTCTGCTACAGGTGGCATGACCCAGGCCATACCCACTGACCCAGAACATGACCAGAACATGCTGGACCTGCTGTGCAGGGACTCTGTACACACTTGATTATGTTCAGTGACTCTAGAAATGCATGATGATGTTCAGTGACTCTGCACATCAGGGATATTCAAATCACGGTCCTCAAGGTCCGAGCACTGATGATTTTCCAGCCTTCCTGTATCTGTGAGCCAGGTCTGAAGCCTCTGGCCAATCAGAATCAGTAATTATTAAACTAACTACTTGGGAGAACCGAAAATATGGCCTGGATTTTGAATTGAGGGCCAAATTTGAAGAGCTCTGCTTTCCTTTCCTGATAACGTCCAGGGTCTTGGCACATGCATGATGTTCAGTGACTCTCGGTGCATTCTGCACACACGCCTGACATTACTGGCAGCCCAGCCCCCAGCTGGGATGCTTCCTCCTCCTCTCTCTGTTTTCTTGTCCTCTGATTTTGCTGAAATGTCAGCGTTTCATTATTCATCTAGCCCCCGTGGTTAAATCCGGCTCTCTCACCCCCCTAAATAAAGTCTTCCTTTATTCCTTCCTCCTGTCCCGATGTCACCATCTGGAGAAGGTCTCACCCCCACCATAGCGCCTCTGTCCAGAGCACCAGTGGAAGCCATTAACTGCAGTCAAAGGTTTGGGAGTCTGAATAAGTCCTCACCTGAGAGGAGGGGGGACAGGCAGCGGGGGCAGCGTTAGTGCTGTGGTGGGGCATAAACTGCAATCAGACCGGGCTGGGGGTCTGCTATCATCGCCCCCCCCCCCAAACCCCTCCCCAGTGGTTCTGTGTGTACACAGCCATCACTGGGGCACAAAACTTTGATAACTAGAGCTGTAAAAAAGGCCATAAAATAGATAAGCGGCTTAAAAACCACGATAAATACATCTGTAGGCCCCAGATGAAGTCCTATGGGGGGGGGGGGTTCACCGGCAATAAAATAAACACGAAAAAAAATGTTCACAGTGCAGATTTCTGCACCCGCAGCCGGCCTGCTCACGGTCAGACAGCACGGTGACGCACTGATGTCATCATCACATACACATGCAGCCCCCCCCCCCCCAAAAAAAAAAAAGTTCACGTCAACTCCACAACCAGCTGCTGATAATTCAATTCCTGGCACCACGCTACCCGCTCGCCCCCCAGATTGCGATGAGGGAGGTAACGGCTTTTGGCGGGGGTAACACTCCGTGTAATTGGTTTCAAAGCAGCCTTATCTTCCACGAGATGCGGCAGACAGCAAAGTGTTTAGCTTCCACTGGAGCGTCCTGCCGCTCGGCTGAATCTGCCCGGTGAATTTCTGCCAAACGCTGGCAGCAGACAGCTCACACACTTAACTTTAATAATGCACTCTTTAACTTTAATGTACTGCTGTCAAAAGAAGTGTTTTACACGTTTGCTCTTCTGCGAGATTCTGCATTGGACTTATGACCCAAAGGTTTCAGGCCGAGGTGCTAGAAGCTTCTGCCGGAGGAGAGGAGTTAACCCAGCCCAGGTAACTTGGAGCTGCGTTACTGGGTAACAAGCCAATAAGCAATTGAAGCAGCTGGCTTGGCTTAAACACACCTGCAAGGCCACAGTGAATTCATTAAGTACAATTTAAATAACGAGGGGGCATTTATTTCTGAAGACGCTTTTTCACGATGCTGTCATGGATTCATTGTAATGAAGATCATCACGAACAGGTGGGATTTTGACCCCATCTCAGGCAAGCAAAAGTCTAAATGCTTCGCAAACACATAGTGAGGCTTCTTCCCACGGGCGAGGTGAAAAAGTGGTGGTAACTGGCTTAATCTCTCTCATCCTCTGTGCTTCCGGGATCAGGTCCAGAGTACTCTAACTGAACTGCAGCTGTCATTAAGCCCAACATCAGCTCCTACACTCATTCATACAGAAGGTTGTCGGTTCGAATTCCATGCTCAGCAGAAAAATCACATATCCACTGGCCCCCTGAAAAACCCTAGGGACGCCAACCCCCCCAAGCTTCATTCTCACATTGTGTGTGTGTGTGTGTGTGTGTGTGTGTGTATGTGTGATGTCGCCTACATCCTTAATGCACAATAGGCGGAACCTGTAGCTATTCTCATATAGTGAAACACTGGCACTATAAATATATCCGGCAACAAGATTAAATATCTACTGTACCCACAAATACTATACAGAAAACACTGTAAAGCACAGATGCGTTCATTATGCAGATGAGAGAATATCAGACAGGCCAGCACGTCTGGAATGATTTTACCCACGACCCCTGGAGAGGGGGCTGTTCCCCTCTGAGCTCTCACTCTGAGGGGGGGGGGGGTTACGGGGAAGTGCTCAATAAGAGCTGTAAGAGCCCTTCTCCTGCACTTTCCCATCGCTGAGACTCCCGCCCAGCCTCCAGGTCTATGTGACTCCTGGCCATCTGGGAACCCCGCATGGGAACCCCGCGAGAACACATGGGCAGATAACAGAGAGGGTGGGCCAGGGGGGTCGCAGCCTAAGAGCATGCAGCTGGGAGGAGGTGTTCATGGACACTACAGACCCCAGACTTCCTTTCTGCACACATGTACTGGACAGTAACTATACAGAGTACACAGAAGCTCAGAAATCAGGCAAATCAGACCCCCCACAAGAGGATCCCTAACCCTAACGTTACCCCCCACAAGAGGAACTCTTAACAGTCTCCATATAACAATTTCTAACCACTAAGATGGACCAAAGTAGCCTATCCCAGGCAATAGAAGGGACATGGCTGATACAAGCTGTCCATCATAGGACACACATACACACACACACGCACACACACACACACACACATACACACACAAACACACACGCACATACCTATCTTTATGGGGCCCACTCATTCACTTCTATGGGAAAAATGCTAACGCTAACTATGACAACCTTAACCTCCTGAGACCCAAGTCAAAAAGTGTCCTTAAATTTTAGGTTATTTGTCTTTGGAGGAAATAAAACATCTTACAAGATTTTTTCAAATTTTTTTTTTTTTTTTTAATTTCACAGCATGTCCTCTTTAGTGTACAACAAGAATAAATATGTTTCCTTACATCAGTGAAAAGATAGATGCAAAAACAAAATGTCCACTACAATGGACATAAATGAATGGGTGGGGTCTCAGGAGGTTAACCCCCACCCAGCCCTAAACCATAACCATAAGTAACCAAGCAAGATACAAGAGTTTCATAGCAGTCACCGATTTTTATAAAATAGAGTTTTCCCTTATGGGGACCAGGAAACCAGCCCCCATAAGGGAAAAAAAAACGGATATTTATCACATTATGGGGACATTGTGTCCCCATAAGGATAGATATACCTGCTCGCACACACACACACACACACACACACACACAGTCTATGGGCAATTTAGAGACTGCGTGACATTGGACTGCAGGAGGGACCTGGGTACCCAGAGGAAACCCGCATGATACGGGGGGGGACATGCAAACTCCGCACGCACACAGAGGTGGGATTTGAACCTCCAGTTTTGGAGACAACAGCGCCATCCACTGGAACAATAGACTGTGTGTGTGTGTGTGTGTCGTGTCCTAACTGCAGTGGGGTCATATTGCACGCATGGGATCATTAATTTGTCAGAGTGTCTCTCTTGCCCATAGCTACATGTATGTTTGGTAACTGGTCCATAAGAGCCTCCCCGTAGGCGGGGCAGTGGACAGCCTCACTGGACAGTAATTGCTGAATCATCATTTAAATTGCATTTTAAGTGAATAAACTAAAAGACCATGCGACATGTTGGACTTGCCACTTGATTCACACCAAAGCATTCCGTTAATAAGGCCCCTGAGGAGAGTCAGCCCCCCCACGGGAGGCACTTAGATCACAAATAACCCTCACGCGTCATGATCTGAACAGCAAGAGGAGCTGAAATCATGGGAAGAAACACAGGAAAACAGCGGAGCTGGAAACCGCAGCCTGCTGCTGGCGTCCGGCTGACCGAAGCGTGGCCTCCTCTCCCCCGCCTGCCGCCCGCTCCCAGCCCGCTCCGTTCAGGAGTCACCGAGGCCCCCCGCCTCACCGTCATCTGCCGGCTCTGGCACGGAGGTCCAGAGAAGCCAGGTGGCCGGAATCCAAGTTTAACAGGGCGGGCGGAGGAGGGCCTGCAGCCAGGCAGCGTGATGTCACCCCCGAGCTGCGGCGAACACTGACAGCCTTCCCGAGCACACGAGCCACGCGATGACATCACCACACGCATGACGCCTCCCAGCAGGACACAGAGATCGCCTCATAGCTCTTAATGGATGCGCCGCAACGCTAAACGCTAGCAGCTAATGTGCATTTAAGGTTCCAGAGCACAGAGACAGTGATGGGATTTCTCCAAGAGCGACCTTCTCCCATCAAAACCACGAAGGCCGAGCTGTCTCTGCTACAGGCCACTGGCACCAGTACCCTGTGCCTGTACTGACACCCATTTGGTACCATCCCATACTAAGCCGTCAGAACAAAGACACAGGAAGATCGACCCGCAGTGCTGAATAAAAACGGTGATTAGTGGGAGAGAGAGTGGGAGACAGACAAATGGAAGTCGCAGTGAATGTGAAAATACAGAGCCCTTTTTCCGGAGAGTTCACAAACCGGTGCTCCCTGGCATCTTAATTGCCCTCAAGGTATTTTCAAAGGCTTCCTCTCCCCAGTGACCAGTGGTCCTGAAGACACGGGTAGTGAAAGCCTGCACTGTTGATGTCCCTCACATCACCTGGCAACGGAGCAGTCGACCAGAACATCGCTGCTAGCGGCACGTGCGACAAAGAGGAACCCGGAGGTGAAATCGCATTCGCCAGATAGTCCCGGACCAAGGAGGAACACAAATCACTTTGCACGACATCACTTCCTGCCAGCTTCGGTCAGCTGGCACATAGAGAGCAGATGCCTGGGCCCTGAGCATGGAGGCAGATGTTTCCCTTACATAAACCGCTACAAAGGACGAGTGAAAACAGCCTCACCTTCTCTGGTATGGACAGCATGCCTTAAAAAGGGACCCTGATATATTTACAGTTTGCTTACAAAGCATCCCTACTGAAGCAGCCTCCATGAAGATCATCTCTGAGGACCCTGAGCACCGGGCGCTTCTCTGAGCTACACTCCTCAAGGACATCTTCATACAAGTTTCCCATTCAGAGGTCCTGGCCACAAATGTTAGGAACCTGGAGGCCTGTTAGATCATTCTGAAGCAGCAGGAAAATTCCCATTTGTCCCATCAGGTAGTTGTTAATGGTTATGACACCAATTTCAGTCCCCTGCTCTAACTCAGAGGTTCCTAACTGATGGCTCTGATGCCTCCAGACCGAACCTTCAGCACTAACCTTTGCATATTCATTTTACCACTGTAACTTAATCGAGGTAGTTTCCCTTAGTTACTGATCAGACATGAATCACAGGAGATCCAACACAGGTAATGGCAGATGTTCAGTGAATGAGTGTTAAGCAGAGTGTTCAGCTGGGCTTCTGAAAGCCCCAAAACGAGAACAGCCAGCCGAGCATGAGCGTGAATGAGCAACAGCACTGGAAGGCCAAAGGTGGAGATGTACTGAAAGCAAATGAGGTTCTGCCTGGTCATGCATCCAGATGCGATTCCTCAAAAGGAATCTGAGAAACCCCCCACTGACGCAACAAATAGCCATCCAGGCCATCAACAGGTTCCAGCTCCCATCTGGGCATGCAGAGGCAGGGAGGTCCGGCACAACGATTCGGGTGGCATCTGCAAGACCTACCTCAGCCTCTTGCAGTACTGCTTGACCTTCTCCAGGGAGGCCGCGTTGATCTGGGCTTGGAACTCCTCCACGGAGACACTGTCCCTGTAGTAGTAACCCTCCATACTCTCCAGAGCTGCAGGCAAGGGGAGCGTTTCCATCAGAACTGAACACAGGAACTAGAACCAACACTACAGGTGAGCAGAGATGTGATCCACAAACCCTCAGGGAAGCCAGATTTAACATGAGCCGTATTTAACCGCCCGTTTAATTCAGGGCACAAAAGCCAAAATCTGGTAATAGGTACTAAAGAACACATAATTCATAAATGAATAGATAAAGTGTACATTTACTTAAAGACCTTTCCCTAAGTTCTATGTCTGTGATCATTTTTGCGTAAGCCTTGATTTACGGAAGTCAAGAGCTTTTTGTTTGTGTGCATATACAGTATGTTTATGTAGTACTGTAGTGCTCACCCTGCGTGAAGAGTACCGGGTGGATCTTGAACCCGGCCCCATTCCTCAGTCTGAGCGGCAGCTCCTCAAAGTAGAAGCTCTCCAGGTAGAAGCAGACCTTGATGGCTTGTCTGGTTCCTTCCACCTGGTAGGAGATGGGCATGTCTGTGGGGTAAAGCAGAGGAGGCGTAAATAACAAAGACTAAATAATGAAGACGGGTGTTTCTACACTCTATGGGTTCCTAAGGGGAGGCTTACACTCTGTAAAACCTCAGTTAAACCTCAGCACCACCCCAAGCATGAGATATGCACTGGGGAAGGGTGGCTGGGTGGAGGAATAAAGGCCTAACTCAGAGAGCGCAGGGAGGAGGAGAAACGCCATCGGGTTCCATACATACTGGCCACCTGCGGGTCGCCTTCAAACTGCCGGAAGCAGAAGGTCACTTTCTCCAGGTCTGCGAGGGCCACCTGCGTGTCTTCCAACATGGCCTGCTCATCTGTCTGGAATCATAGGCTTGGGTCAGGCTCAGCAGGCAGATCCGGGGCCACCCGTCCGGCCGCTTCACACTCATTCCAAACACTCATGCAGAGAGAAGATAACCGATGGAATGATCTGCATCAGGCCAGTGAAAGGAGCCCAGATCAACGTGGCAATATTCAGTCAAAACATTCACTCAGATTAATCCTTATCATGGACAAAATATGTTTATATTCTGTATGTAAAACAGCAATATATAGGCAGTTAAACGTGGGCCATCGCCAAAAGCCTTACTGTCTGCATTCTCACAGCTCTGCAGCCTATGTACAAACCTCAAACCCCATTTTCTCAGCCAAGAAATATATTTTATTGCATTAGAATGGCATGGAAGTATGTTTTAAATCCAAAGCTAGTCCCCAATGATTCTGCCTCGTTCCGGACCCGGCTGAATCCAGAACAATGCCAAAACGTAACGTCTATCACTCATCACCTCGTTTGGGGGGGGGGATTCTGTGCTGTATGACATCAGGTACCCTTTAAATCAAGCCTGTTCATGGCCCCCACGTTGATCTCCCAGTGGAGGGAGGAAGCAACACATCTGTATGGAACCTTCCAGAGCAGGAACCCCCTCGGAGCCTCTGCTGTACTCGCAGTGGCTGAGGAGCAGACAGACAGTGGTCCAGGTGGGGTGCGCACCAGGTTTGGGGACAGCAGGGACTGGAAGTGGAAGAGCAGGCCCACGCTGGAGATCTGCTCCAGCCAGAGGCGGCTGGCCTCCTGAGCCTCGGCGTCCGACTCGCCCTGCGCCTGGTTCAGTGCAGCCTGCAGGTGCTGTGAAAAAGCACAGACCGCCGCCACCAGGCTCTGGCAGAAGACCATGTCCCGCCGGAGCTGGATTTCTGAGTCTGTGGGTCAAGGGAGGAGACACAGTGTTTGACTCACGTATGAGGCGTCTGCACCGAGTACCAGCCCAGCTGAATGATTCCAGCATTCCCTGCCAAATTCATACACTCTGACCAATCAGAAGTCACAGGTGGATACCCTTACCCACAATGCACCTTGCTGTCCAACACAAGTAAAAAAAAAAACATTATCTGCATCATCCAGGAGACTGAAGCCGGCAAACAGTATAACGACAAACTATAAAGATGCGTGCAGGAACCCCTAGTCTTTAATTAAGGCACATTACATGCAGACAAGCTTTAAAAAGACCACATATTAACTCTCAGCTCACATATTTTAAAAATCATACACGATTCACACGTTGCCCATGCTATGAAAAATGCCTCACACCTTAGGCACATATTACTGGATCTTTTGGCATCATCGTGTCAATAAATGTGATAAGTGAGATTTGCTTTAGAGCAGACAGTCCTCCTGAAGGTATCCGGCACAAACATTATTTTACAAAACACCAGCTATTCTTTAAAAATCATAGAAAATAAAAGTACATTACAAACACACCACAATGATCTGATAATATGTCAACATGGAAACATCAGCACAAACTCATGCTGGGATCGTAACTGTATCCAACGTCAGTCGTCACAGCCACAGAAACGGGTCACATGACTCACCCGTGTACTGAAGCAGCGCCAGAAGCAGACGGGTCTTCAGCTCTGATAAAGGAGACAGGCAGAGGGAACTGTGAGACCAGCTCATCACAGAAAGGCTGCATAGAGTGTCTCCTCTGCATGCAGAGCAGAGAAAGATGGTCTGGTCTTCAAAAAGAGAACCCTTAACAGCCAAAAGAGAACCCTTAACAGCCAAAAGAGAACCCTTAACAGCCAAAAGAGAACCCATAATATCCAGCAGACCCCACCAACAGGAGTCAGGGCAGGAATTCAGCATCTCCCTGCAACGAGGGCTGATGACATGAATGGATGAAGCGCAGGCAGAGGGCGCCAGCGAGCAGGTGGCGGGAGGCTGACCTTCGACCAGCTTGGCGACGGTCTGGGTGAGCTCCCTCACACTGCTGGGCAGGTTCCAGGGGTCCTGCTTCACGTGGAGCCGCAGCTTCCGGGAGCCGCTCACCTTCTGCTCCGCGTCCTGGAGGAACTCTGCCGGGTGGCGGAGGGGGGAGAAGCACACGGAGCGGTTACCCAACGCTGCCCAGTCTCAGCCCTAACCCAGCACAGCCCAGTCGGGCAGGGGAATGGCACATGCTGGCCTGGGGAAGCCCCCCCCATACCCCCGCCGCCGCCGCTGCCCTTTGGGCTCTTCTCACAGCTCTAAGATACAGGCAGCTGTACAGTCAGTGTAGTGCCAGTATGGGCCACAAGATGGCGTCTGTCACACCCTTCCTGGGCCTTTCCTGGTCCACAGCAGGGTTATGATGTCAGTGCAGGGTTACAATGAGTGTTTCTCAATATCAAGAACGCAATGACTGTACTTGTGATCTTGGCAAAACCAGTCTTGCTAACTTGCCTTCCAAAAACGAACTTGGGGAGCAATGACTCATGAGATTGGTCTCGTTCGGCGAGGACGCAACCGATGTATCCTTGATATTTGGGGTGGAGCGAGACCAACATTCGGTGATTTTTACCATCCTCTGTACTTGTGTTCTCAGTATTGGAACTGATCTTTTGTCAATGGAAGACGACGAAAAACGGGGACACGAGAACACAAGTACGGTCAAGTACGCATGTTGAGAAACACCCACTGTCTTAATCTAGCTACACCTGGCTTGCCCCTACAGCACACTGACAGGAAGATATGGCATTATGCGTAACACACTACCCAAACTATACCACTCACTTGTAGCTCTGTACAACAACCTGTGGTAACACCACAAAAACACTTCAGTTCATTCATGCCTCAGAACATGTAGAGTGCTGTAATTAATTAAAAGCTGCATGAGTCCAACTACAGCATTGCTGTAAGAGTGCCCCCTGCTGACCAAGGAGTGTGTGACATGAGCCTTTCAGCAACCTTTCAGTCAAGGGCACAAGAATCGACTGTGTCCACGAGGAGCCCCTGAACAAACTTTCCTACACATCTGTTTTGCACTGAGGGCGATTTGAACACAGTTTTCGCTCCAAACCGTTCCAGAAGCAGGGCAGGACCCCAAATGCAGGACAGGGCCCCCCACACATAGGACAGGGGCCCCCAGGGGTTTACCTTGCAGGCCTCGTCCTGGCATGAAACACTTTGTCTGTTCAAACACTCGAGCGACGACGGCACCCTTCAGCAGGCTGGTAATGGAGTCGACCTGCGGAGGAAGACGGAGTGATCAGGAGGTACGAGCAGAAGCAGGGCTGCAGGACTTCCGCATGCACCCCCCCTCCCCAGCCCGTATCCAAACACAACAGCCATAAAGCCCATCCCAACATCTGCGTGCTCTACAGGAAACCGTGGGTGCAGGATCCCATGACCCTATGACCCCTAGCCCCCATAAAAAGCAGGCAGAGCCCTCTGACACCCCTGCCCCCCCACCAGGTCCCCGTGCAGTCAGACACTCATCGCCCACTGTGCACAGAGGCGGGAATCGGGCTCGTGGTGAAACACAAACCAGGAAACAGTAACTGTGAACAGGGCCTGTGACCCATCACTGCCTGGAAGCAGCTGTCCCTCCCCAGGATCTCCCATAGGGCCATGCAGGGATATTAATACACCCCCACCCCGAATGTGGGTGGGACCAAAAGGGAAGTTTACGCTCTTTTTTCTTTCATCTTTATTTTTTTAAGCAGGGTGTACAAACTGTGTTACTCATATAGCAACAGCGGGATTTATGGGTCAGGCTAAGAATAGGGCCAGTGACAAGGGGGGCGATAACGTAACCCCCCCATACAGAGCGGCCTGCAGCCCTGAGCTAACCCCCCCCGTCCCCACCTGATTGCAGAGATGCTCCAGGAAGCTATGCAGCTTCTTCTGCTTGTCGTGGGAAATCCACATGCTGACAGGCATCTCATCCCCTAATGAGGGAGAAGTAGCAGGAAGTTAGTCACAGTGTGCAGGCCTACTGAGGCCGGGGAAGTGGGAGCGGCCTAACAGGCTGAAGCACCGACACAGCACATGGCCCCGACGATGACACCGCCAGAGTGCTGAAGTCCTCTAATACAGTGTTTCCACCAACACGGAGCCGGGGCTGGTGCTGGTGCTGGATAAGGCTTGGTGCCTTTTGAAAACCTGGAGCGTTTCCACCAGTTCCAAAAAACACTGAATAAAAACATTACGTAGGCAGAACCGAGAGTGAAGTAAAGATTCATATGAATTCTGTTTTTTTGGATTCGTTTTGATAAGGTTTTATAAGCTGCCGAACCAAAAAAAAAAGAGCCTTTAAGGAGACATAAGTCCCATAGTTTGCCGAGTCTGACTCTGTGTCTCTATTGTCTGTATCCACTTTTGTCTCCTTAAAGGCTGTATTTCACCCGTCTGTGTGTGTAAGGGAGTTTATTCTTGCTCGCTGTTTTACTGCTGTCCTTTTAAGGATCTCGCAATAAAAGTGCCTGCTAACAATAGAAATTTGCTGTCTGTCTTATGATCTCTTTGCCAATTGAACAGCACAATATTTAATTTATTCGACTTGTGACTTGTTTATCATTTATTATTACATATGGCCCGCAGATTGATCTTTCATTTTCTACAGAATAAAAAAAGACGTAACGTTATTCCGCTAATAAGCTGGCAAGTTCACTGCCAGCACTGCTGATATTAGAATAAACTATATTGGTTATGAATCAGGGTTTTCCAGGAATGTGGAAGATTTGGACGCCCCCCTTCCGCTGACGTTACAGTTCCAAATTCTGGGACCAGCTATTCTGTGTTGCGCCGCTGGAGCCATTTTTTTCAGATAATTTTTCTTTGTGGTGGAAATGTGTGAAACCAGTCCCAGATTGGGAAAAGGCCTGGAACTGGTTATAGCCGGGAATAGGCTATAAGAACTCAGTAAGAGCAAGCATGCAGTGTGGTAGACTGCAGCTGCGTCATTTAGGAAGGCTGAGACATTTATACTGCATATATCCATCCATCAATCCATCCCTCCATCCCTCCATCCATCCATCAATAATTGCTTATCCTATAGTTTACTAAGTTTTCCATACCGTTACTGTTGTGCCTTCTCATTATTTTCTGCTTCTCTGAATGAGAACTGGTATAGCAGCATTCAGTCTGCTGTTTTACTTTGTGAATCAAGCTCCTTAACAATGACGCCATCTACTGTCCGAGGTTGGTATGTCACATGTGTGAATGTTTAGGGTGAGGAAAAGCTGGCTCTTAATGAGTGTTGTTGTTTTTTTTTTTTTACCTGAGTCCATCTCGTCGCTGTGGACGTAGGAGCTGCAGTGGCTGCTGCAGATGCTGGTGAAGGAGGCGATGGAGTTCCTGTTACTGTTACAGTCACTGTGGGGAGGGGGACACGTGTTAGACAGCAGCTTGGGACCTCATCACAGGAGTAAGTAGCACAGGGGTGACCTCATCTCAGGAATAACTACCACAGGAGTGACCTCACCTCAGGTGTAAGTAGGCCTACCATAGGAGTGACCTCATCTCAGGAGTAACTACCACAGGAGTGACCTCACCTCAGGTGTAAGTAGGCCTACCACAGGAGTAACCTCATCTCAGGTGTAAGTACCATAGGAGTAACCTCCAAGAAGTAACTGTCTTAGGAGTGAGTTATTTTAGGGGTAGTTACCGCAGGAGTAATTTTATCTCAGCGGTAATTATCACAGATTGAAATACTGCGTGGGCAGAACATGGGGAAAGAATCACTGCCCTAATCCCAAAGAGAGAAAAATGGAAAGTTTCTCTTATGTTATCTGTTGCTGGCTTCTTTCCGAGTTTAAAACCAGCCGCTTCTGGTTGCAGTATCTGCTCTTCCTCCAGCTGCTGACCTGCCCGCTGCACGGAGGGAGGGCTGAACCACAGTATTAATGCATTCAGGCATGTGGCAGAGAGCCTGCGCACACCCTCTGAGCTGAGGAGCACTGCTGTCCAAGGAAGGGCATCAAATCCAAGGCTGCATTCTGTCTGCGCAGACACACAGGGTCTGTGCCCGCCATAGACTAAAGCTGAAAACCGCCGGTGTCAATGAAAGGGTGCAGTGAAGGAGGCTGCAATGCCGGCAGTCACCTGTAGGAGTCCCTGTTGCTGATGGTGTCGTGACCCGAGTCCTCCTGCTCCTCCCCGGCCACATTGAAGCACACCTTCTTGCCGTTTCGCTCGCCCTTCTCGCCCTCATTGTCCCCGGAAACGTCACCCGGTGGGGCTGTCCCGTCAGGCGAGGGGGGTTGTGTGATGGAGGACAGAAGACTGGAGGCGGGGTTTGATAAGAAAAAGCAGATGTGAAGCATTTAGGTCGACGTTCCGTTATCTTGATCCCAGCACAGACAGGCCACCCATTAAACACATTTTTTTGTAGAACCCAAGCAGATATAAACGCACTTTTTTTGAAAACGTACACACTAATGTGTGTGTGAGTAGATCTTTGGTGTGTGGCTACAGTAACACAGTCTCTCTGAACCGCCCCCCTCCAATTCCCATCACTGCGGTGTCGTTTTGGAGTGGGGGTGTATAGAGAGTTGGCCTCAGCCCAAGTCAAGGCTTTTGTAAAGTAAACAACGTGATCTGCAGTTCACATGTGATGTGGGGGGGTGGGGGGGTGGAGGGGAGGAGGCCGCGGCCCCCATTCACGCGACCCCCAACCCCTACTCAAATTCAGGCTGTGGCGCCTCTGCACAGGGGCCTCTTTGAGCCGCTCTCGAGGGCACGAACAATGCCAGTGGCATTCCATCGCCATGGAGACGGCACACGGGCCCCACATCAGCCGCCAGGGGCCGACGGTGCATGTGGACGGTAGCAGATCTGCCGCGGAATGGGACTGGACCCCAAGAACAGAACCGCAAGCCAGCTGCTCAGAACCACAGCATTTACCTGGGAAATTCCTCTACAATGATGCACATGCCGTTTTCTAAACACCGGGGGTTATACTCATTATGGTGTGATGACAAGTATTCGTTTAAAAAAAAAAATAAAAAAAAACCTTAATTATGTATAAATAACATGCAGTTGCAGGATTTCGCAGCTGTTACAATTATGTGTGAGTGGGTGTCTGAGACCAGACTCCCAAAACATCCCTAAACAGCCACACCGGCAGAGCAGGTCAGTGCTTCCGACTCCCACGTAACGATCTGTTGAAGCTCAGGATCACAGGCCAAGAGCCTAACAGTTGCATGATGGACTGAATCATGCCTGCTTAGCGCTAAGTGAAACCCCAATCCCTCTCTCTTTCAGTTTGCTCTGCGTCCCCGTCCTTTACATTACGGCGTTTCCTGCCCCCTCCATATGCGCGCCTCCTGCTGGCCAGGGTGAAATCGGCAGCCGACGGAAAGGTCACTGTAGAGCAGAAGCAGACTTGCACCCATGCACCATCTCTGCATTGCCGGATGTGCATCTGGGAGACGTTTACGCTGTGGGTGAGCGGTACTTAGAGAAGCAGAGGGAATTCTGAAGGCCTCGCTGTAAAGGCCACATGTGAAATTTGAAATAATTTGCAATAAACTGAAATGGACTTCAGGCATAAGCAGGCTTCCACTTCATATAACTCCCTACAGGAGAGATACCTCAGACGATGCAGGAGCAGATCAGCCAAAATCAGCAGGGATACATCCCACTCAAACTACTACCTATTTACCAGGCTGAGGAAAGTGCTTCTGCTGTCACTCAGTGAGACCCGAGAGGCTCAGAAGGAGCTTCTGCCCCCAGGCCATCAGACTTGACATTTAATTGACAGCCATAATTAAACATTTGCTCTTTACTTATGCACCGTGCACTTTATTGGAGCTATGCTGGAAAAATCTGGGTTTCCACATTATTGCCAGTAATACACTGTTCCTTATTTGTTACATATTTATTACACTGTCGCTTTATGTCTTATTGCTTTTCACTATGCTGACTGCAGTGGAGCTGACCATCTTGTATTTCACTCCAGGTTGTAGTTGGACCGTATAACATGACAAATAAAACCCTTGAATCCTGTCCTGTCTTCACACTCTGGGTCAACCTCCATCTTGGCCTGTGGTACGGCAGGGTTTTACACAGGCCCCCCCGTGCCCGCCGCACTGCGAATCCCCCCTGCCCGTTCGGCCCATGCCATCCACACTCACTCGTGAATGTGCGCGGCACAGCCCTCCGTCTCCCTGACGACGCTCGCCAGCTTGCCCAGCAGCCGCTGGTAGGCGTCCAGGCCCAGCAGATCGTCCTCACGCAGCAGGAAGCGTAGCCCGTGGCCCTCGGGGCGGCCCAGGCTGTGGCCCGACGGCGCCGCCATGCTGGTGATGGTGTGCTGCACGTGGGCCATGGGGTTCATCTTGCCTGTTTTCGGGGGTGGAAAGCGTGTGGGTCACATGATAGTTCCCAAACAGCCTCGTTCCTCTCACCCGTCCCACCCCCGCACCTTGCTCTGTGCCGTGCGCCGCCCTTTCCAGCGTGGAGCCCTTCCGACTGTCCAGCTGCACGCCGAAGGCACTTCCTAGGGAGCTGCTGCTCTTGGGGTAGGACACCTCCATGATGTTGATGTGGCAGTTTGTGGGGCAGAAGTCACTGCTGTGCAGAGGGGACACTTTGGTCTTGGCCTGCTTGAACGTAGGCCAGGCCCGATTCCTCAGCACCCGGGAGAACTGCAGGCACAAAGGGACACTCCATCAGAGCCCCCTGTAAGCGTCCCGCATGCCGCCCCCATGGAGCGAGTGTCTGCTGCTACACATGGGCATGTAAACACAGCTGTGAAGGTAAGAGCGGAGCCTAGAGCGGATACGCAGACCAGCCAATTAACACCACGTAGAAACGCAAAGTGATGTAGAGGTGAGCCAGTGACCCGATGCGTACAAGCCGTCCCACGGGGCAACCCCCGAGCAGGGAACTGAAACCGCCTTGGAGATGGCCAGTCAGCCAATGACACGCAGCCTGTTTGCACAGGGGTTCCGGTGGAGAAGCCCCCCCCCCCCATTTAAACCAGACACCCG